GTGCCATGTAACTTGTTTTCATTATTATTTTAAAAAACCCCAAAATCATCCTTATTCATCTCCAGCAATGATTTAGTTATCTTTAGACAGCATTGTATTGTATAGCATTGCATATGGTAGACACTGCAAAAATACTTATTGATTGAAACATATTATTTATTGGCTCAATGGCCATCATAAAAATGTTAAGTATGTGACTTGGTCACCATTTTGCAAAAGAGGGGTTTTTTTTCCCAAATACACAGTATTTCTCCTTCTTTTAGTAAGCATTCTGCCTGGCTCAGTCCAATCCTCGCACTTCTGATGGGGCAATGCCTTTGAAACACGATTTCAATCTTTTTTCTAGTGCGCATATCTTTGAAACTTTTTTACCCAGCAGCTATGGATGTGGTATGATTACACTAACAAATTAACCAAAATTGACTTCTAGGCCCACATCAGCTGACTGAGCACAAGAGAGCAAAATATTTTCTTTTTATTTGAGGAATTCTTCAAGGATTTCTTAAAGAACTGAACTAACCATACAAGTTGCTTTGATGTGTATTTATTGGCAAGGTTACTCTCGTAAACTTCAAATAGTATATCTGTCCCCCCTCCCCTCTTCTTTGCATAATACCAAAGATATTACACATCATAAAAAAACACTTGTGGTGGTCAGATATTTTTTTAAAAGATGGCTGCCTCGAAGGAACAGAGAAACAAATCTTCCATTTCCTTTGACTGTGTGAAAAGTTGTTTTTTTTTGGTTCCCCCTTGAGTCTCAGCGTTATGCATGATGCAATGTTTGCAAAGACATTGGGTGAAAATTCTGAAATCAGACATTCTGTGAAAGGGAAGGAGCGTATACTTTCCAATATCCTGTGATAATATTCTGTTGGTACTTTAAGCTGAACTTTTTAAAAAAGGATACATTTTTCAAGCTAGTGGAGCACAAATGATTTTTTCTTTTATAGTTTATTTGATTGGATACTTCATGCATTCATTTGTTCAACACATATTCGCTAGCACTTAGTATGTTTGAATCACTGAGCTAGGTAAACACCATGGGGTATACAAAAGAAATAGGAGCTATTAATTTCTTCCCTTGATGACCTGAGGAAGGAAGGAAGAAAGAAAGAAAGAAAGAAAGAAAGAAAGAAAGAAAGAAAGAAAGAAAGAAAGAAAGAAAGAAAGAAAGAAAGAAAG